TGTTAGTCCACCAGCGTAATCTTTTAAGCCTGCTTGGCCCACTGGCATAACATTGGCGATCCTCGACATAGTGACGTAGGTCGTATAGAGTGGGTTTTTTTTTTTGGGTCAGCCCGGTTAGGATAACTGCAGTCGTACTTGTTAGGTCGCATATGTAGGCGCAGATGTGTGTGGTATAATATTTTGTCGGTAGAACTGTTTGTATTTGCCCGGAACAATTGTCATAGGTCGTCCGCTCTTGTAGGCGGACATCTTCGACGTTAGGCTTCTTTTATCGGTAAAGGTATTCGCTCCCAATCCATAATATCGTCGAACCCACGAAAGTTATGTACAAGCATAAGGGTTCCGTAGATGATTATATCCGTATAATGGTAGGAACTTATTTTCGTTGTTTCGTTGTAGAGAATTAAAGCGGTAAAACAAAGTGTGACAGAGCTATACGGTACGGGACAGTCAAGCGACCCTGTATACGCAAGTTGTAGGCGCAGATATATATGTAAACGCAAGTTGTAGGCGGTGTTCGAAGACCAATGTGTAGACGTCTGAAGCACAGACTCTCTTACGCCTTCTGCGCTTAGCCCACTAAGCATTCTGCCTATGTTATCTGCACACTTGCGAATCGTTACCACCTACCGCGGCTGTCACCATCCGATTCTTTCGTCTAGTCTCGGTTGCTAGCTAATAAATTAGGAATCTGTGAATGGCCGACAGCTCGGTCCACTCTCGCCCCATGGCAGCCCAGGGCGCAGAGGATGGAGAAATAGACCTAGAGGACGTTGAAAATACTGACCCAGACTACGCACAGGATCGCGAGAACGATAGCGAGTTTGAGGCGACCGAGGAGGATTTGTTTCAGGGTGGTATCTACGAACCATCCGTCCGGATTCAAGTCCAGGGGAGTGAAGAAGAGAGTGAAGGGCCGGGAGGCGATGGAGTGCGCCCACGACCCGGTGCACCCGAAGAACGGTACGAGGAGGATGGAGATCACTCTGACGCAGAAGAGGAGGGAGAATCATCGCCGGGACGACGACGACCTCCCGATTCTGCGAGCCATGTCGAGCAGGCTGTGGCCCCCGGAAATGCGCAGCGGCAGACCGACGTTGCGGAAAAGGAGAGCAGGATCCGGCGTTCAACAATCCCGCTTCGACTGATAGAGGCCGGGACGAGAAGGCACTATTGTTTCCACTTTCTACACTTCAAGTGGTGGGTGATCATCTTCATGGCAACTATGGTAGATGTCCCTGTGGCAGATAGCCTTGCTCCCTCTCTGCATGACGAGGTTGGGTTTCATATGAGCAATAACTTGGGAAACGATGGGTGGTCGTGCAGCTCTGACGAGTGGCAGATTCATCTGCACGGGCCGCGAATCACGGAATGGAGGCTCGGCCGATACATCGAGTATCTCTTCTGCGAAACTGACGAGCAGGCAAAGTTTTTGCGTGGAAAAATGCGGCCAGACGTCGAGAAATATGTGGGGAAGGAGGCAAAGGGGTGCACGGCTTCAATGATCAAGGCAAAGATGAACGCAATGGGATGCCTTGCCAGGTGCGAGGCGAGGCTCTACGGCTTCTCCATCACACTGACCAAGGACTGGATCAAGGATGCTCGGGATTTTTTCAAAGTGAAGCTGAAGGATCTGAACGACGAGCAAGTCGCGTGAGTAACGTATACGGGTGCTTTCTGTTTGTGTGAATGTTGTTCTACATGGTTTACCTAATTACTGTGCTATTCTATGCAGGGATGGTCGAGATCAAACCCGTGGATCAATTGGTGATTGCTATACGGGAAGCCAGTATAGGACGCTGCATCTTACTATTCTGCGAAAAGAGCTCCTAGAGATCTGGTGGCGGACGCCTCCGTCACAAATCTCGCTTCCTCTCTGGAAGGCTCTGCAAGTCCCGGTTATGATGCACCTCGGACACCAATTTCTCGGAAGAGGGTGCAGCATTCGAAAGATTCGACTTGGGAACCTCTTTGTCCGCATGACGCGGAGCACATCACACCTCGACGACTATCTGGACGTTTTCGTACTCGTCGTTGTTTCCAGGAAGTCGAAGACCAACCCCAACAACAAGCTGAATCATCAGTTTCTTGCAAGGCATAGGGACTGGCGGCTCTGCGGAATGGGCCATGTGTTCCTGTGGCTTTATTTCATCTACGACCTCGTTCCTCTGCGCTACGGCCCCGGTATCGTCGAGCCTCTCGACTTTTCTGAACCGATCTTGTGGACGAAAGCGCACCTCTTCTTTTCTTTGAAGAAGGGCGACCAGGGAGAGCAGAAGCAAGACGAGATGCACTACAAAACGCATAACACCTGGATTAAGTGGGCCATGACGAAGGCGAGATGGATTCTGAGCAAGGTAACACATGCATTCCGCAGATCCGGAGCGCAACAACTCCATGACGACGGTTGCTCCGACAACGATATCGGCACTCTGGGCGGATGGGCGCAGGGGGAGTTGCGGAGGTGTTATGTGTTCGGCATACCGTTCAAGCCGGTTTGGCTGCTGGCAGGATTCAGCGGGGATCGTGGAGACTACTACATCGGCAGAGCCCGCGCCAAGCTTCCGCGGCATAAGGTTAAGGAGAAGGATGAGTGGTTGCAGCTCTTGGATCTCTTGAGGCTTCACATTTTCCCCTGGGTCGAAGAGGGTTGGAAGAAGGTACGTGCTAGTGTACAGTCTTCGCGTTCGTAGCTTAATTTTGATACGCAATGATGAACCGTCCCATTTCTCCTGCATACTCGTCCCGTCAGGTCGAAGAATGGAACGCTGCGCAGACCGATCCGCTGAAGAGGCACTATGCGGGGGCGAGGTTCCTAGACACCCTCGCCAGCATCGGACGCCTCGTTGTTGCACAGGATCTGGCTATGATGTGGGCGTTCTGCCATCAGCACGGCGTGAGAAACCCGCGGTGCAATTGCGAGAGGCATCCATATGTGCAGATGAGCCCCTTGTGCAACCACCCGCTGTTCCAAAAGTGGGCGTACCTGGTCGCTATCTCTCACTTCCAGGGCGAGAAGCTTCGGGCAACCGGCCAAACCACCGCCAAAGCAGTAAGTGCCTGCTATTAGTGGTAGAGAGGAGTTATTCGTTCATGCTGAGTTCTGCCGTGCTGGTTTCTGCAGGACGCTATCTTTCGCACGACCGCAGAAGAGAAGCTGCATAAGATGCACCTCACCGCCAATATGCTCAGGGAGGAGCTTGGGATTTTGAGAGGACGTGAAATGCAGTTGGCGATGGAGAACGCTGAACTGAGGGAGAAACTCGCCGCTGAGCGAGAGGACAAGGCTCGGGTCATTGCAGAGTTCGAAGCATACAAGAGGTCTGTTGCGGCCAGGGATGACGCGGCAAACACCTCTGCAGAGATCGACGGATCGTCGAAGAGCGCGGGAACAGGAGGAAACCAGGCAACGGACGCATCCAAAGCACCAGTTGCCGTCCAAGAATTCTTCGTCGTGGTCGTTGTGTCTTGGCGCGAAGCCACCACTGTTGCTGCTGCCTGGAAAGTGTGGGTGCAGCCAAGCCTCATCATGGGCGGCCGGTCACTGCGCGAAGTCTTTGCAGAGTTCGACCGGTATAAGAAGAAGGACAAGAATTCCAGCTTCATCACCGCATATTCCCGGTTCGCTGTCAAAGGTACGCCCGGGATGGCTGTGGGTGCATGCGAGCGAAAGATGCGTCGCGTGCATCGTGTCATGGTTTCCGTGGAGACGCTAAGAAAAGACAGCTCCGAGGCGGCGACCGCAACGGCCATTAAGCTGCTGGACGAGGTTTTACTCGTGTGCAACTTCACGGAATTCACCAACGGCCTGGCTGTGCTGCATGAGACTCCGACCATCAAGAAACAGAAGACCGGTTCGTCGACGGAAAAGAGGACCGTCAACGACCTGGCGCAACGCAGAGTGGGCTGGCTGTTAGTCAAGAAGGGCCTTCGCGACCAGGAGTGGGCAACTTCGCTGTTTGGTGATGATGAGTGGGAGGAGATCCACAAGGAACACATGGCGCAGAAGAAGGCGGAAGAGGAGAAACAACGAACCGCTGCGGCGAAGAAGGCGGAACGGGAAAAGGCGACGGGCGAAGCGTCGAAACGCAAGGAGCAGAAATGAGGGGGCATGTACCTTAAGGGTGGGGCGGTTTAGTTATTTGGGTACTTTATTCCGGTTGTACCGAATATGCACTACAGGCACTTGTCTGTCTCTGTAGAAGCCCGATTTGGGGCTTGTATGCCACCTTATTCCCTGGGCGCGCTGTTTTTCGTAGAATGTTTTTCTGGTGTATGCAATGAAGCACACATCGATGGTATACACCGGGCGAAATTCTGCGGAGTCATGTCGTATCGTATACGATTTTATTCTACAGAGCGGCGTCGATGAATTCACTCTCACGATTGTAGATGTGTGTTCTTAGGTCACTCGGTAGACTTTTGCGTGGATTTATTCAGTCTCAGCATATGTTTCTGGGCAAAGCAGTGTCATATTTTACTAGTAGCAACGAAGATCCTATCCATGACGGTAGATATTATCAACACGTCGGTTTTTCTGCGGTATAGTGGCGTTTCCAATTTGCCTCCAGAATTCGGCGTCGAGGAATTCAATCTCCATAGCAGAAAGGTCTGTGCATATGAATACCGTATACGTTCTTAACAAGGTGCTCCCTTAGACAAGATGTTATGCGATTGTTTAGCCCCATACTTCTACCTCTTCGTAGAAGCCGAGTATTAAACGTAGATTAAGTGTCGTAGAAGGCCGTCCTGTCGTCAATTTTTTTATTCGCCTGGCCCTCCCTTTGATGGCGAGTTCTATCGGCTGCATTGCTAGCTCCATACGCGCCCTACAAATTTTGCTAGTGTAGTGAAGGTTTGCATAGCAAAAATACATCTCTCATTGTATTGTATACAACAACACCTATATTTATACACGGTTAAATAAAAAAAACGAAAAGGAAAATCTATTTCTACTGCGGTACTAACAAGACCTCCAAAGAACCCGTCTGCCTCTATCAATCCTGGCCGCCAGTGCCGGTGTTCTCCTCCGTCGACGCATCCTTCGTCGCGTTCCCCTTCGCGGACGATTTCTTGGTTTTCTTCTCCTTATCCGCCCCTGTTGTGGTATCCCGGCCGCCCAACTCCTTCTGCAGGACTCCGAGCCAGACGCCCTGGTGCTGGCGAAGGCCTCTTGATGCCATGCTGCATAGGCACCAAGAGGTCACCACCTTTGCCACCACCCTCGTCATCCGCTTCGCATCCTCGGCCGCTCGCGACTCTGCCGGAAGCGCTTTCAGCAGCGCATCCGACAGGGGCAGAATCCACGCTTCCTTGTCATGCTCCTGATCCTTTACCGACCTCATCGCCTCAACCGCAACGCAAGCAACCGAGGCTGCAAGCGTCGCAAGGGCATTGTGGACGGCAGAGGGCACATCGGCCGCAGAAGATGACGAGGCATCCGACGAGGCGGTGGCAGCAGTGGACGATCTGGCAGCAGAAGATGCTATGGCCGTAGAAGTTCCACGTGCAGCTGTTGTTGCGCCCGTCTCCCACTGGGTCTGGTCCACATTCGTGGATGCGGCCCACATTACAGACAACGTGGCGGCAAGTCCGATTGCGTGTTCTTCCGTCGAATAGCCGTTTTCACCCTCCACGCCTCCCACCATCTTCTGCCACGCAGTTATTCCGACACCAGCGCAGGCAGCTACCTGAAAGCCATCCCCCTGCTGCTGCCGAAGAGCCGTGTTGGTTTGAACGAGTGAGAATCTGCACAAGACACCAGTGTCGCAAGATCAGAACCATCGAACTTCGCGGGTGTTTAGAAGTTGCAACTGTACATCACATAAACACTCACCCGTCCGGTTTGTCCAGGTGGAGTTCGTTGATGACGCTCCACACCCCTGTTGGAAGCCACGTTGTGAAGTCGAGGTCTTCCCGCCACTTGTTTATACGGTTTGGATTCATGCCGTATGCCTGCATGTCAATATCCGGGAAGTAGAACTTCCAGCAGACTGCGACCGTGTATGCCCTCTCCCACACCGTTTTGTGAGAGCCGAGGTTCCGCTTCCGGCCGCCGACGGTCTGCTCAGACGTCCACTTCTGCAAAGCTCCCTCGCCCCGTTGAGAGAACCCGCTTCCCCTGAACGGCAGGCAGACACCCAAAGTCTTACCCTTGTCGTCCACTACGGCGTTTTTCCTGTTGTCACACTTGTCGATCTTCATCCCTTTCTTTTCCCCTTGGATTATGGGTATCAACTCCTGTATTCCAGCTGCACGCCGTCTCTTAGCCGCATGACCCTCCGGCTCCCTGTCCTCTTGTCTAGGCCGCCTCCTGGACACCTCTACATTCCGTACAGGAACACTAGGCACGCCCTCTGCTACATTCGCCTCCCCGCTCTCAATCAACAGCAAAGTCCCCAACCCCTCAACTATTTCCTCCTCGACTCCTGTCCAGGTCCCCTCCCCCTGCATGGTCAAATCCTCCTCGACTCCTGTCCAGGTCCCCTCCCCCTGCATGGTCAAATCCTCCTCTTCCATCTCCCTTGCCAATCGTTCCGTCTCTTCAGCCATCGCCTTTGCCTTTGCCTCCAGTTGCCGCTGCTGTTCCGCGTAGGATGCAAGTCTGGCCCTCTTCTCTGCTCGGCATTGCTCCGCCTTCTGCAGGCGCTCCATCTCCTGCTGTTTCGCCCTCTGCTGCCGCTCCGCCTCCTCTGCCTCCTTCTTCTGCGCTTCCTCCTTCTGCAGGCGCTCCATCTCCTGCTGTTTCGCCCTCTGCTGCCGCTCCGCCTCCTCTGCCTCCTTCTGCGCTTCCTCCTTCTGCAGGCGCTCCATCTCCTGCTGTTTCGCCCTCTGCTGCCGCTCGGCCTCCTCTGCCTCCTTCTTCTGCGCTTCCTCCTTCTGCAGGCGCTCCATCTCCTGCTGTTTTGCTCTCTGCTGCCGCTCGGCCTCCTCTGCCTCCTTCTTCTGCGCTTCCTCCTTCTGCAGGCGCTCCATCTCCTGCTGTTTTGCTCTCTGCTGCCGCTCGGCCTCCTCTGCCTCCTTCTTCTGCGCTTCCTCCTTCTGCAGGCGCTCCATCTCCTGCTGTTTCGCCCTCTGCTGCCGCTCGGCCTCCTCTACCTCCTTCTTCTGCGCTTCCTCCTTCTGCAGGCGCTCCATCTCCTGCTGTTTCGCCCGCTGCTGCCGCTCGGCCTCCTCTGCCTCCTTCTTCTGCGTCTCCTCCTTCTGCAGGCGGTCCAATTCCTGCTGTTTCGCCCTCTGACGCCGCTCTACCTCCTCTGCCTCCTTCCTCTGCCTGTCCTCCTCCTGCAGGCGCGCCATCTCCTGCTGTTTCTCCCTCTCCTGCCTCTCGGCCTCCTCTGCATCTTTCCGCTGCGCCTCCTCCTTCTGCAGGAGCGCCATCTCTTGCTGTTTCTCCCTCTCCACCCGCTCTGCTTCCTCTGCCTCCTTCCTCTGCGCATCCTCCTTCTGTCGCCGATCTCCCTCCGTTGCCTTCCTACCCTGCTCCTCCTTTTGCCGCCGCTCTGCGTCCAATCTCAGAACCATTGACAGCCGCTTTTCCACCTCACTTATCATCCCCTCCTTCCACCCCGTAATCCCCGTCTTCATCTCCTTCACAGCCTCCATCACTTCCTTCATTCCCGCCTCCACCTCCTTCTGCCGTCGCTCTTCCTCCTGATGTTTGTTCTTCCTCCGCCGCTCTATGGCCTCTACGTCCTTCCTCTTCACCTCCTCCTCCTTCCGCCATTGCTCGTCCAGTTGTATCCTCTTGCGTCTCTCCTCGTCGTCCGCCACTTGTTTCCTCTTCGCGTCCTGCTGTTGTCGCCGCTCCGCGTCCACTTGCCTCTCCTTCTTCTGCCGCTCGGATTCTTCTCGCAAAACCGCGCTCAACCTCCCCACAATCTGGTTTACCATCCCATCCTTCATCTCCTTCATTTCTGCCTTCATCTCCTTCATCATCGCCTCCTTCATCTCCTTCATTCCCTCTCTCATCTCCTTCTGCCGACGCGCTTCCTCCTGCTGTTGTTCCTTCTTCCGTCTCTCTGCGGCGTCTGCTTCCTTCCTCATGGCCTTCTGCCTCCGCTCCTCGTCCTGCAGTCTATCCCTGTTCCGCCGCTCAGACTCTTCTCTCAGAACCTCTCTCAACCTCTCTTCCACCCCCTTTAACGTGCCCTCCGCCATCCCCCCTCCCGACTGGCGAACCTGATCACTCACCCTTACGATACTCTCCTGCAAGTTGGAGAGTCTCGTGTCCACCTCCTCGCGAAACCTGGCCGCCGTTTCAGCTTGGCGCCGCCGTTCCTCGTTTCCATGGCGGACTTCTTCCAGGTTGGCCAGGGCGTCGCGACAGTAATGGACGGTCAGATCGGCCACGTCGCGACTGATGCTGCTGTTGCGGGCCGCCAAGTTGCAGAACGTCTGCGTCACCATTCGGGCTAAGAGCGTCAGACGACGCGTTACCTCTGCCGGGCTTATGTCCCAGCTTTCGGCCTCGACGAACCTGTCACCTTGTTCGACCAGGACTGTACTCGTCCGATGCTGCATCCGCCGTATTGCCGTCTCTGCCTCGACCCACTCTACCTGCCAAAACGCTTCTGCCACCCCGCCTTGGCCGAGATTCCTCTCCACTGCTCTCTGGTGAAGGGTGGGCCGCCTCTGCCTGCTGAGACCCACTGTATCCCTAGGCGCCCCATCGTCTGCCACCCTCCATGGCCCCTCTACCCCGGTTCCTGGTGCCCGCGTCGGACTTCCTCCCAAAAATATCCGTATTGCCGGATGTACCGTATCCTCCTCATTCTGCTCCTCTTCTGTTTCCAGCGCATCTCCCTCGTAGTGCCCCACTCCAGCCTCCGGGACGACACGAACCTCCTCCATAGTATTTTGACGCCCTGTCTCTGCCATGCTCTGCGTCTCTCGGTATGCGAATACCTGCGACGCTGCCTCCTCGTTATGCTGCCCCTCTTCCTCTGCGATGATGTGCCCCTCAGCACCCGCCGTCTCCCGTCCCTCTGTCTGTACCATTTTATTCCCATCTGAACCGTCCTCTCCATCTGGCTTCCTTCGTGCGTCTGCCTCAGCCTGCTTCTGCTCCTCGGCCTCTGACATCTTCTGCGCAACACCCTCCGCCTTCTTTTGCGCCTCTACAACAGCCTTCTTCCGCGCTTCAGCCCGAGCCAGTTGTAGTGCCTCTTCCGCAGCCTGTTTCTGCTCCTCTGCCTCTGCCTTCTGCCGCGCCGCTGCTTCTGCCTTATTCCGAGCCTCCCCTTCCTTATGTGCGTCTGCCTCCTCCATATGCAGCGCCGCTGCCTTATCCTTCTCCCTCGCCGCTGCCTCTGATTCCTTCTGCGCCTCTGCCTCAACCATGTTCGACGCCGCACCCTCCTCCTTCTGCAGCGCCGCTGCCTCTGATGCCTTCTGCGCCTCTGCCTCAACCATCTTCGGCGCCGCACCCTCCTCCTTCTGCAGCGCCGCTGCCTCTGATGCCTTCTGCGCCTCTGCCTCAACCATCTTCGGCGCCGCACCCTCCTTCTGCAGCGCCGCTGCCTCTGATGCCTTCTGCGCCTCTGCCTCAACCATCTTCGGCGCCGCACCCTCCTCCTTCTGCTGCGCCGCTGCCTCTGATTCCTTCTGCGCCTCTGCCTCAACCATCCTGGGCGCCGCACCCTCATCCTTCTGCTGCGCTGCTGCCGCTGATTCCTTATGTGCGTCTGCCTCATCATTCTGCTGCGCCGCTGCCTCATCCTTCTGGCTCGCCATTGCCTCTGATTCCTTCTGCGCCACTGCCTCCACAACCATCTGCTCGACTGCCTCCGACGTCAGCTCTGCTGCTGCACCCGCTTCTTTACGCGCGACTGCCTCCGCACCCTTGACCGCCTCTGCACCCACCTTCTGCTGCGCCGCAGACTCTGCTTCCTTTGGCGCCCCGTCCTCTGCCGTAAGTACCGCCTCTGCATCGACGAACCGATGGGCCGCATCCTCTGCATTCTGGTGCGCCTCTACCTCCACCATCTTATGAGCCTTAGCACCCGCGTTGCTCTCCTCCTTCTTTTTCGCCTCTCCCGAATTCTCTGGCACGTCGACGTCCCCTCTCCGGGCCTCTTCTGCCGCCTTCCGCTTTAGGCTGGGCAAGCGAACTTTCACGTATCCCCTATCCTCCTCGATATGCTGCCGCACATTGCTGGCGAGCTCCTCTCCTGCCTCTCCCACGTGTGCCCTTGCAGCGGCTCGTGCCCCACGCTCCCATGCTTCACGTATGTCTCCAGTTCCCGGGAAAGAGACGGTAGGATCGGTGCCGCCATCACTGCGCCGCTGCATCTCTTCAGCCCGTCTACTCTTGGCTTCTGCTTCGACCATCCGCTTTTCATCAGCCGCCTTCCTCCAGTGCTCCTCTGCGTGTTCGACCTGACTTGGCAGCTGTGGATCTTCTACACCCTCCTCGCCTTCATCTGCTACGCTTGCCAAGTCGGTCTCCGTCCGTGCTTCGCGTTCCTGCGGCATCCTAACCCGATCAGCAAACCTGTGCTGCCTATCTCCAGACCTATCACGCTCGTCAGCAGTGGCTGCCCTTGATGTCGGGCCACTGAGTACGGCATCCCTCGGTGCAGGTCGGCGGGAATATGAAATAAACCCAACTCTTGGATTTGCGTCCCGGTTTGCGGCAGGTACGTCTATCTGTCCCTCTACCGCTTCGGATCTGTTCTGTGCGGGTGCGCTCTCTACCACTCGAGCACAGTGGGTCGTCATGACTGCATCCGGGGCGGGACGGAGCTGGACTCCTTGCAGGTCGAAGAAGGCCCTGCAGGTCGACTCCAGCATACTCCGAATTTCTTTCGCGCTGTTCTTCCCCTTCCCTAAGACCATCATCGGCTCTACAGACTGAATCGCCATGACATCCCCCCATTTGTCCAGCAACTTGCTGAACACATGGGTAACATGCAGCCCGGAACCCACTTGCCTCTGTCCCTGAACCTTGTTGATCTGCAACATGTGCGTGAAAAGGTGGTTGTCAGACACTCCCGTTACTTTGTACAAGCTTGATATCATACAATGCTTAAATCATAAAAATAGAGGCTCCTTCCTTACCCTGCCTTCCTCCAGAATCAGATCATTTAGGCGAGCCCTCAAATCTTTCTGCACCGCTTCGGCGTGGCTGCCAGAGACCCTGCGACCTCGGCTGTATTCCACATCTAGTTGTCGGATAAGCCAGCTGCAGGGCAAGGGGGTCGCAAATAATCAATATCATGCGTCCACACAAACCGCACATCTGCTTAAGGAGTGATACCTACTCGAACACCTCCTTGGCATGCTCGCTGTGGCGATGGGTTGGGATTGCAGATTTAGGGTCGAAGTGTAGCACACGCGTACGGTACTCTCCGCGGGGATGTGCTAACAAATCTTGCGGGTTCATCAGCACCATGAGACTGATCGCCGTCGAGCGAACAACAGCGACTCTGCGGTACATGGAAGTTTGGATTAGCAAGATAGCTGGTGTCATCGACACACGTTGCGGATACATGTCAGGAAACTCACTCTAATATCATGGGTATTAAAACCATCTGGTAGTCCAACAGCGACCGATGTTCGCTGCCACAACTGGGGACACGCGGGACAGCAGACCTCAAACGCCGATGCTCGGTAGGAGCCAGAATCTTTATGTCTTTGCGAACGCGAGGATCCCCAATCTTGTCCTTGGCAACCTCCCTGCATCCAAGCCGACATGTCGCAGAGGTAAGAAGATATCGCAGGTGCCTGTCTAAAAAACAAGGGTTCAACGTGTCGATGAAGTCAGCGTGCGTTACAAACCGCGCTTGGATACATACACTAGGCCGAAAAGTAACAACGCCTCGTTCCACTCTTCCTGACGAGCGATTAACCTTTCATAAGACTCCCGCCCTAGTCGTACCGACAATCCGCAGCCGTCTGTGATTAGCTGGGACGACATCGCGTAAGTATGCCAGAAGATGGCAGGTAGCTAAACGGTTACTAACAAACACTCTCTACCTGCAGGATAAGAGGCCGACACTAGAATGAGAGGGAAGCTTGTGAGACTAGTTGTGGAACCTCGACTCAGATTGGAATGGCGAGAATGACGTCGAGCTTTGGTGCACCCACCCTGATCCCAACATCTGCTTCGCTGGTAGAATTGGTTGTGCTCTGTCCTCAAACGCCAGGCGTAGTAAGAATTTTCTGCCCCATGGCTCAAAATATTAGGCTTCTCACCATTTCCCTTCGACCATTTGCGAACTACTCTTTGCCATGTTAGCATATTGCATGTTCTGCGGTGCCATTGCATGGTCTCAGCTTTGCCTCGACCTCGTACGAAATGGTGACGGGCAGCCCCTAAAAAAAACGAATGGTGTCCTGTGACAGGTTAATGACAGGCTGCCACGTATAGCTATCCCATCCGCATGGTTCCCTCCACAACCTGGAAATAGAGCTGTCTCTGCGACCTGTCACACGTGTCAGAAATCGAATGACACCCTACATCCGAGAGTACCGCTATAGGGGTACTTGTGTAGCACGTATAGTACTAGTTTTTGTAACCCATAATTCAAACACAAGCATGAACTTTGCTGGATTAGCACACCCAATACTATAACGGGTAATCCTATAAGTGTGAGATGAGTGCCCTATCATTAGCACCCGTATAACAGTGGCATTGGAGTACAAAACAAATGTTGTACATTTCACCAAAGTGCTCTGCTCCCGCCTGCAGAGGAGAGAGTGAAAAACATACTACACGTCTACGAAAAAAGATGAATTTCAGGTGGGGGTCTGGAATATGTGTGGTGAGAGTCCCCTGTAAAAATCAGCTCATTTGCTCAAAGAGAAGTGGGTGATTACAATTGAAACCTGATTGCAGGCAATTCTGCACAGAATTCTGCAGACTGCTGCACAGCAAGGCTTAAAACGCATATCAAACCTTGGGCAAATGAGGTGAATTTCATGTGGGAGTCTGGAATATGTGTGGTGAGAGTCCCCTATAAAAATCAGCTCATTTGCTCAAAAAGAAGAGGGTGATTACTATTGAAACCTGATTCCAGGCAATTCTGCACAGAATTCTGCAGACTGCTGCACAGCAAGGCTTAAAACACATATCAAACCTTGGGCAAATGAGATGAATTTCATGTGGGGGTCTGGAACATGTGTGGTGAGAGTCCCCTATAAAAATCAGCTCATTTGCTCAAGGCGAGATGGGTGATTACTATTGAAACCTGATTCCAGGCAATTCTGCACAGAATTCTGCAGACTGCTGCACAGCAAGGCTTAAAACACATATCAAACCTTGGGCAAATGAGATGAATTTCATGTGGGGGTCTGGAATATGTGTGGTGAGAGTCCCCTTTAAAAATCAGCTTATTTTCTCGAGGAGAAGTGGGTGATTACAATTGAAACCTGATTCCAGGCAACCCTGCACAGAATTCTGCAGACTGCTGCACAGCAAGGCTTAAAACACATATCAAACCTTGGGCAAATGAGATGAATTTCATGTGGGGGTCTGGAACATGTGTGGTGAGAGTCCCCTATAAAAATCAGCTCATTTGCTCAAGGAGAAGTGGGTGATTACTATTGAAACCTGATTCCAGGCAATTCTGCACAGAATTCTGCAGACTGCTGCACAGCAAGGCTTAAAACACATATCAAACCTTGGGCAAATGAGATGAATTTCATGTGGGGGTCTGGAATATGTGTGGTGAGAGTCCCCTATAAAAATCAGCTTATTTGCTCGAGGAGAAGTGGGTGATTACAATTGAAACCTGATTCCAGGCAACCCTGCACAGAATTCTGCAGACTGCTGCACAGCAAGGCTTAAAACACATATCAAACCTTGGGCAAATGAGATGAATTTCATGTGGGGGTCTGGAACATGTGTGGTGAGAGTCCCCTATAAAAATCAGCTCATTTGCTCATGGAGAAGTGGGTGATTACTATTGAAACCTGATTCCAGGGAATTCTGCACAGAATTCTGCAGACTGCTGCACAGCAAGGCTTAAAACACATATCAAACCTTGGGCAAATGAGGTGAATTTCATGTGAAGGTCTGGAATATGTGTGGTGAGAGTCCCCTATAAAAATCAGCTCATTTGCTCAAGGCGAAGTGGGTGATTACAATTGAAACCTGATTCCAGGCAATTCTGCACAGAATTCTGCAGACTGCTGCACAGCAAGGCTTAAAACACATATCAAACCTTGGGCAAATGAGGTGAATTTCATGTGGGGGTCTGGAATAAGTTTGGTGAGAGTCCCCTATAAAAATCAGCTCATTTTCTCAAGGCGAAGTGGGTGATTACAATTGAAACCTGATTCCAGGCAATTCTGCACAGAATTCTGCAGATTGCTGCACAGCAAGGCTTAAAACACATATCAAACCTTGGGCAAATGAGGTGAATTTCATTTGGGGGTCTGGAATATGTGTGGTGAGAGTCCCCTATAAAAATCAGCTCATTTGCTCAAGGAGAAGTGGGTGATTACTATTGAAACCTAAGTCCAGGCATTTCTGTACACTAACTTCATTGCAAGAAAAAGTCCACCAAATCAGTTTGCATATAGCTGAAAATGTTCAGGGGGGCTGGAACAGGTGTCATAACACTAACAATGCAAAAAAAAATGGTCACCACATAACACCTGTGTGTGATGCACAGAGAATGACTTTACATGTGCTATGAGCAATCTTAGTTGAGAGGAAAGTGACAAAATGGAACAAATTTGACAAAATAACAAACTCATGCCCGCTTGTAGAGGACATCAAGGAGATGCTGGAAATCCATATTTGTGTGCAAATGACCAACAAATGATGGAGTTATGAGCCAAACCATATAGAATTTTGACTTAGCCATTTTGACATTCTGCTTGTCAGAATTACACCAAAGTGTCAACAACAAAGTTTATATACAAATACTGTACAACAGTGGTTGCGACGTCGCTTTCGTGCGACCGTCGATAATCCAAACCGGTAGTGTAACCACTCTTGCGCCCATTTCGTTGCGCCATCAGGTGGTTTGGATTTTGTAAGATCCAACACCCTTTTGCGCCGAATCCGAGTCAAATCCGAGTAAAATCGTCTCGCCACGGGCAAAATGGAGTTTCGCAAAAAAAAATGAATCCCGGTCGAAGCAGAGTTTCCGAGTGCTGCTTCCGCCTTTGGCCCGCCCTTCCCCCGTCAGGTGGTTTGGATTTCTAGGAGTCCTGTGCAGGGTTTGTCCTTAGCTGACTCGTCCTCAGATCGTTTTCTAGCGAACTGGATCATATACTTTCAGTACAACGACAGGACTTCGCTTAATTTACACCCTATATACATGTACCCTTTACATTAAGCAACTTATTCCACGAACACCGCGACGTTCTGATCAATCCACAACCTGAATAAGCTCAAAGAGCTTTCCCTTAATGGCCTCCTCGAGCACTATCATAGGAGACATCTCCTTTCCTTCCAGCACCGCCAGCAGCATCCCCTTGCTGAACCCCGACACCAGCGCCACCCCATCCTCACTTGCAGCCACCAGTGTGCTGCTCTGAGAAGAATCACCCCTCAGGTTCCAATACACAATCTGCGGCACAGGGTAACCCGCCGCAGCGTACTTGCACACGATCTCCTGGTGGTCCGTCTCCCAGTCGGCCCCACTAGCCCTGCTCGCCTCATCAAACTGCATGTTGGAGAACACGTAGAGGCGCTGCACCATGTCGGCCGGGTCCAGCTGGAACTGCTGCGCGCAGAACAGCAGCAGGTCAAACACGGCCAGGAAGTTGGTGTTGTAGCCCCAGGCCATGTGCTGCACGCTCCTCACGCGCTCCACCAGGGTCTTCCCCTCCACGCGGTGGGTCATCGGCTTTGCGGAGAAGGTGATGAGGTGGTTCTTCCACGG